GGCAGATGGAGAGGAACAAGAAGACTCTGCACTCTGCACCCAGAGTGGAGCCCAACAGGGGACTTGATCCCACCACCCCGAGATCATGACCTGAGCTGAAACCAAGAGTCAGTCGCTCAACCAACTGAGCCACCCAGGCAACCCTTGATTATTTCTTTGTATTGATGTATTTCTATCTCTAAATTGTTCCCCAAAGTTTTAGATAGTTTACAGGGAAAACCTAAGAACAACATAACAAATCAGTAGTGGAGAATTTTCTAAAGTGAACGTGTATGCCTCTTGCAAAGAGAACAGGAAAGAAATAAGAGTTATTTAAATATAAGAGAAAAAGAATCATAAGGAGAGGCACCTAAAGCCAAGACAGGAATGGAGCTGATACTAAAAATGCACTAATGAGGCTCCCAGTTGTCTGTTAGGAGCAGACAGATTTTAGAGCGCCATACCAAGCTTCAACCGGACATAGAGAATGGTAGCAAATACTGTGAAAACAGTCCCACCTTCACCATGCTGTAACCTGTGATCACATCAATAAATACAGAAGAATAAAATGTGGCAGGGCTTTAAAAAGAAGGTCAGTTCTGTGATGAGAGACTCTCGTATGGGTCTGAGTGAAACTAGAGGTCAGGAAGGCTCATTCAAGAAGTGAGAGTTAAGCAGCAACCTGAAGAATAAGTAGGAATGAATTAGGTGAAGAATGGAGAAAGGAATATTCTAGGTAGTAGAAAGAGCATGTGCAAAGATCTTTCAGCCAGAGTGATCGAAAGAGGGAAAGTTTTGTAAGGAGTTGGGGAAGCAGAGGGGGAAGAAGAGGAGAGGAGCCCAAACCTAATAAGTGCTCTCTATATACCAGGCACTGTCTTAAGCCCTTTCTATGCATTAATTCACTTAATCCTTAGAATAACTCTATACCATAGATGCTGTTATTTTCCCACCTGAAAGATGAATAAACTAAGGCACAGAGAGATTGACTATTGTTTCTAAGGTCACACAGATAGCAAGGAAAGAGACCAGAACTTGAACCTCAAACCCTTTGCCCCTAGATCACGCTATCAGTGGCAGACTCAGACTGTGTGGCACCTTATGGGCCATGATAAAGGCTTTGTACTTTCTTCTGAGCTCAATGGAAAGCCGTTGAAGAGGGAGAGTGGAAGGCAGAGGAACCAGAAAGGACATAGTCTTGATTAACAGTCCCCCGAATCTATTTTTCCTGAGAGAAAATGTTCTAGAGAAGGTGAAATGCTAATGAATTAGAAATAACACTCTGAGGGAAAAAAAAAAATCTAGAAAAGAAGAAAATTAATAGTCATTACAAATATCTTAAAGTATTTTAAGCACACAAAGCACTTTTGGTCATGGAAAAAATGTAATAAATTAAAATACACAACAAGGCACTTATATACATTGTTATTTTGATGCTATCTACTGACTAAACTCAACTGGACTGTGTATAGTTTGTTTCCTTTCAGCAGCACATCTGAGCTCTGGAAGACAAGTAACTTCATTGCCAAGTAATAAATGATGAAACCAGCATCTACTTCACAGGGTGGTTATGAGGACTGAGCAAGTCAATATATATAGAACATTTAAAATGGTGCCTGACACACAGCAATAGCCACATGTGTGTTAAATGAATCAAACACAGCAATCACTAAATATAAGAATGCAGTAAATAGTAAAAGTGATTACAGTTTGTTAAACTTTGGTTATAGTTACACTGTTACCCTCATCCCATTTATGGGGGGGGCGGGGATCAAAAAGTTTGAGAAACTGTGTCATACTAGAGAGCCTTCATGAGGTCAGGACTTTAATTCTCATATTTGCCTGCTCAAATCACACAGCTTACAACAGCTAACAAGAGTCTATCATGTGCATCTCTTCCCAGTTCCATGATCAGTGTTCAGTGACATCACCTTGGTAGCTTGGAAATGGTCATGGAAGGAGTAATTACACCAGAGAAATGGACAAAGGCTACAAATCAGGGCCTTCCCCTGCATTCCCTGGAGAGACGGTGGTTTAAACATTGACCAGCATACTACTGCTTGTGTTCAAAATGGTATGCAAGTTTTCACCAAATAATAATAATTCATAATAATAATGAATTCAAGACAAATATTCAACCCATCATCAATTTTGAAAGAACTCATGGACTTTCCTT